ATCCTGAGGTCACCATAGAGAGCTTCGTTGGGCACAGCTCTATGGGCTTCCTGTGCCCCCCTGAGAAGAGGAAACATTCCGACAGGAACCTTTTGACCAAAGGTTACACAAACACACACATGCGCGGATGAAAATTTGTGCTCTTTTTGCTGCCATAGAGCAAGCAAGCTGATCACAAGAGGATCCTACGACCAATGCAGACTCGTTTGATCGGCTGTCCCGAAGCTGAGGATTGTTTTTTGACCAAATCAGCCGCTGGGATTTGCACTAGATCAGGTCACAATAACAACAGTTTCCAGGATTTACTTATAGCCAATGATTGTGACATCAGGCTGCACCACATTGGTTGATCAGATCATGTTCATCCGAGGGTATGGCTTGATGACTTTGGTGATGGTCCGGTCACTTCGATCATTTGGCTTCTGGTTTCTGGCTAAGCGTGTACGTTAATGACAGGTAGTTAGAATATCAGGGACGCAGTGGATCGGTGGACTCGGTGGACACCATAGACACCTGAGATTGGCATGGGACATGTCTCTGATGTGTGGACGCCTTGGCTTCGGACGCAACCATAATCAAATCTGGTGGCGGCTGACTCATGTGCCTCTTCGGTTTGGAGACGCTTGTTTGAGGCTTCAATGCCGCCATTGATACCTATCGCGGCGTGAACTGGGAAAGAGCCATTGGCTTGCTTTTTGAGATGCCCAGGTGCGCCGTTGGTTGGAAGTTGTGTTTTGGACCCTTCATCAGAATACTTGCCTTTCCGGGAAATTTTTCGAAATTCTTGAGATTGACATCTACCAACTAGTCTCTTTTAGGTCCAAATTGGGATGGGTTTTCGGGTCTGAGTGTATCCAGTCCAGCAGCTGTGGAAGAAGATGAAAACATGATCCGGGTGGAGCAGTGACTTTATATAAAAATCTTCAACATTGCCTGCAATGTTCACACCGCACAAGTCACAATTGTTCCAGGGTAGTTTTACAACTTTTGATGAACATGCCCAGAAAACCTGCTGAAGAAGCTCTTGGGAACCTGTGCCCCCCGGAAAGTAAATGGACGGAGAAACACTTGTGGATCTTTCCGCTCTGGTTTGTCGGGTCCCTGCTGTTCCCCTGAGAGGCGACACCTCCGCTCGGATGCTGTGGGCTTCGGCGCGGGGATCAGCGCTCTTGAGCGAGGCGCGAGTTTGTTTGGGAGCTTTGGGTCTCCTGTTTGGGGCGACGAGTGGAAGAACACCGTTGGAACACGATCTGTTGTTTGTTTCAAAGTGATTTGGGCGGAAGAAGGTGAAAGGACTGCCACAGCACTGGCACTTCACTTTCAGTAGTAATTCAGGAGGCTTGTTCCGGCTGGGGACCCTAGAACTCACTATAGTGCCTTGGGTGCATGGCATTAGCGAGCTTTCTTTTGATGCAAGATATCGCTTCTTGCGGCTTTGCTCTAGGCAGCGAATGGCCAGCAGTTCTGGAGCTACTGTTGCAGATGCAGCAGAAACAGGTTTGCCGTTGGGCCATTTTGCATATGATTTTTGGTGTTTTCAGATAGGCAATGTGATGAAATTGGAAGGCGTTCAGTGTGTTTGAACACCAGCAAACTTGAACAGGGCGGTTTGGTTTGGATGCTTATCAGAGGTTTTGGGTTCCACGACCTCAACCAACCAGCTGTCCCGGTATTTTGGTGTTGTCCTTCGGTCATCAGATGAGTTTGGTTGTCCTGGAGCCAGTCAAAGGCTATGACAGAGCAGGGTCACCAATCGTTACCCCCTCCCTGCAAGGGCACTTAAAATCCAACCTTTAGGCCCTAAGGCCTCAAGAAACTCATCGCCGTCCCAGCAGTCTCACGCACCCCGCTGGCAGTGAGACAAGCTGGGAATTTGATACTAATATATATATATATAATATACTAACATATCAAACAAAAAAACATTTGGGGCACACTCCGCACCAAGTAAAGCCCAGAAGCACAACCGGGCATGTTCGTGCCCCTCTTGGAGATCATCGTCAATGAGATTGTGGGCTCGGCGGCAATCAGTGCCTGCGGACAGCAGGGAAGACAATGGGAGACCGCGCTGAACTTCTTGGCTGAATTGCTCATGAGAACTTGTGGAACTCGCGCGCCTTGGTTCATTTGATGGGGCTGGAAGAGTAAGTAGAGATGCCAAACCGGGCAAAGATCAATTTTCTTTCGCTCCTTTTTTTTTGGTTTGCCTAACTTGTCTCGTTGTTTTGTTTTGCAATTCAGCTCTGGTTTTGGTTGCGGGCCAGAGTCACAGAGAGGAATTTGATCACATTCCGACGTGCTGACTTACATCACTGGAGGCTGTCGACCGGATTGCATGGAATGCTGCAGTGACCGCCTGCGAAGCGAGCTCTGAATGGACACATGCGCTAAATATCCTTGGTGAAATGCACCACGGCTGGGATCAGCAACAGTGCTTCAGCAATGGTGTCCGCAGCGAGTTGAGGACCAAATTATATTTTGAGCAGGACTCCGAATTAGGAAAAGATGCAAGAAGGGCATACTGCTGGAATTTTTATTTACTGTAAGGGAAGTGTGACATTTGTTGTAGACTCTATGAGTTTCGTTCTGAGGTGCTTATATGGATGTCAACCAGACGTTGTGACCTACACTGCCTGCCTCACTGCATGCCAATCCCGGCATCAATGGCAGCAAGCTTTAGGGCTATTTTTGGAGTGTCCTGACTGCATAGTTTTGACAGGGGATTTGCAGGAGAGTTCCGTACATCCTGGTCCTTGAAACACACTGAAACTCGAGCATGTCATCAAACCCTTTTGGGCTTTTCCAAGACTGGCAGTCAGTTAAGTCAATCGAGGATGGGGAAGAGGCGGCAGGTCCAGCACTGACCTTAGCTTCTCAAGATTTGTCAACTACCTCGTGAAAACATATTTGAACATACCATTTGAACAACTAGGCTGGGATAGGCTGGGTTAAAGCAGGAAGGCTTTTTTTGCTTTTCGCCAGCTTTGCTTCGGGATTCGCGCTTGCGCATGTCCATCCAGGCCAAACATCATCGCCCTTGCGACGGTCGTGACTGCATGCTCTGAGAGAGGATGCCACCAAGAGGTGCTTCAGCTGCTCGAAGGTCGCATTGGGCCGGAGCCTGAGTGCCCGGAGTGTCGGCAGGGATTGGAACTGTGGAGCAAGGCCATTGATCTCAAGATCGAACCCAAACTGTCACAGGATTTTTTACCAAAAAGTGGGCAGCAAATTTCCAAGCTTACAGTTGCAGTGCTGGATTCGCAGACTTCACTTTACTTCCTTTCCTTTGGCCATCCCTGGAGCTCAACTAAGCACCATGGCCTGGGCTTTGTTGACGTGATTTGGAAGCCATCAGATGATCTGATGGAGGCTGGGATTGTCATGGAATGTTCTTTTTTTACGCTGGGATGCGCTGGAAACGCATCAGGTGTGCTGAAAGGACGACACACACAGAGACATGTGATCCAGTGGTGCGTGTGCCTTGTTCTGGCTTTCTGTTTTTCGAGGTGAACCTGGAACACTTCTTGCCACCAGTGATTGGAGGACACGGGTCTCGGATCAGATTTCGGAATAGATTTATGTTCATTCAATCTGCAGTTGTCATGACCCACTGAAGGACCGGTGGGCAAGTCGCGCAGTTGCGGCGTGACGTTTTGACGTTGTTGCCAAAAAGGGCGGTGCTGATATGCAAATCTGCTTGGACAACATGTGGGGCAAAAAGACGCCCGGGCCAAAAGCATTGGAACTCGGTATGTCTTGTTGAATTGATTTGGAGTTGGTCAAGGTACTCTCATCAAGCAGGTCTGGCTGCGACCTCCTTGTCAGTCGACGCCTCTATAGGTTCCAGTCATCGAGAACCCCGAATGGTTCGAGGAGTTGTTTTGGAGTCGCTCGCGTTTGCAAAAGCTGAGCAGGGTCATCCAGAACCCCATGTTTAGTCCATTCTAGTCGTTCCTTATTTTTGCTTTGGAGTGTGGGTCACACGTGTGGCGTCGTTGTTTGTGACAGCGATGAGCAAACAGAACTCAGGTGGCCAATCTTCTGCCTCCCCCAGGTGTTTGGACACTCAGATAACGATCCTTGCACCTGCCGAGTGATCAACATGGTTCGGTGCCAAACACCGGCTCCAGCTTTAGAATGCTTTAGGTAAGATATTTGACAGCAAGTGTCACAGGCAGCCGAAGGCTTAGGGACATGTTTATTTTTGTTCTCTTGGGTATGGTCCAGTTCAGTTTGGAGAACAAAGCTTTCTTTGAAACTTTGTCCTCCATACACACTTGATAATGATAAGCTCTTTTGTCATCCGCAAGAACCAACAGCATTTCATAAGAACATTGGCTGAGCAAGATCAGAATCCATGTACTGAGCAAGACTCTTGCAGTGGATCCACGAGGTCCGACCCTTGTAGGATCGAGGGGGAAAATACGGACAGTAAGCGATGTAGAGCTGCAGTCGTCGAGGCGCGACCGGAGCTAAGTGCTTTGTTGCAGAGCTCGCAGGAGCTGTACCGGCTGTGTGCAACCTGGATCGGGATCACTGAGACATGGGGAGAAGGGCAGAAGGGAGTCGCCTATCTCAATGACCTGAAGATGTTGGCAGTTCCAAAGGCCTTGCTGCGGACAAATTTCACATGCTGAACATTTTCACCCAGAAACGGTTCCTTTGAGTGAAGAATGAGCGTGGGTGAGGACCAAGGGTTTTTGCAAAATCACATGTTGTTACACTGTTACACGCATAGACTGTAATTTCATTTATACAATTTCTTTGGGTGTTTGATCAGTGGCTGGAACTGGGTGAGTCGAGGAGCGAGCGAAGCCGCACGAACTGGAGCCGCCACCGGTGGAGGAGGCCGATCTCGGGTGGTTTGTTGAGTTGGCATCTTTTCTCTAGGGTTGTTAGGCCTCTGTACTGGGAACAAGACCTTAAAGCGAAGGCTTGAAACAAAACTCTTCCAGGCGTATTCCAAAGTTACCCATGTACTGCATGTGAACGATCACTCTCCATGAGAGTCAAGACTTTCTGTTTGGCTGGATCATAGTATGGCAGCCAAGCCAGCGGTTTTTGGCTGAATTTCTTGGCTTTGTGTACGTACTGCACTCACAACCCGAAGTGCCCATGTGCTGAGGGGTTGATGCCCTTGAAAAAGAGGCCTTGCCCTCTGTGTATTCTTCTGACACAGGCGAGTGCTTTGGACCCCTTCCGCTCTCCTCATGGACTGGGCACTTTGGGGCTTCAGGCCCAAAGCCACGTCAAATACAGAGCTACTGGATTGCAGGATTGGGGGTTGGTGGAACAGATAAACTTGATGGCCACAGTTCTGAATGTTTGGAAGGGCTACAGTAATCTACAGTATATGTATATATATATATACATAATTGAAAACAGGTCAAAAGCAACCGATGTGGCACATAATTAACCAGGTGAAGCCAATGAAACTACTCTTTTGTTCTTAGTGAGTTAGTGTAAAAGGATTCTTTGGAAGCTGTTAGTGCTTACTTTCCGCCAACACCGAAGCTTATATATATATATATAGGGGACTTTAGCCATAGTAAAGACATCGGAGCAGATCGGAGCAGGTTCCGGAGCAAGATCCGGAAGAAGTTCCGTAGCAACTTCCAAAACAGTTCCGGAGCAGGTTCCGGAGCAGGTTCCGGAGGAGGTTGCGGAGCAAGTTCCGGAGGAGGTTCCAAAGCAAGTTCCGCAGCAGGCTCGGAGCAAGTTCCGGAGCTTCGGGGGCATGTTCCCGAGAAAGCAAAAAGTTCCGGAGTGGAGGGTTCCGGCCACCAGGCTGTGGTGGAAGTTCTGTGCCTGCGCATGCGGACACATGATACAATTAAGCTATGCTGACGTATTGCCATGTTGAAAGGCTCGCGGCGCGCGTGGGACATTGAAAAGGTTCACTTATGAAAGCAGCACTGTCTGGCAACGACACGACACTTGTCTGTGAACTTGTGATGGTGTCTTGCCTACTTAGTAGGCGGATCTTAACGCCCAGCTGTTGGGTACTTCTCTTGGGCTTTTAGCATCCTCACTGTGCCAAGATCGGCTTAGATCAGTAGGTGGGCATCTAAGTTGAGAGGCACGCTGCATGATGATCATCTTGTTTTGTTTGTGTTGAGTGAGGACGCACAATTGGGTTGAAGCGCAGGGAACCTTTTGTACATGAAATGGATCTATATATCTATTTGTTCATCGAATTGGTTCCACAACTTGTCGGGAGTTTCTTGTTGCACGGTTGGCACCACGCAGGGTCACAACGCTCACTCTTCGGCTTCACTGGCCTTTGCAAGGAGTTCGTACGAGGAGACGGGCAGTGAAGAGACTAACTGTGGTAGCCAAGTTGGCTTGGCCAAGGTACTGGTGTTTTTTGGTGCCATACTGACTTGACCAGATTTGTCAACAAATTTCATTGTTGTCACCACCAGACCTATGACCCAGGGATGTGATGCGTGAACGCAGTGAAGGGTTTGGAATGAGAGCCATCTACTTTTAGCCTAGGGCCTAGATGTTGTTCCGATCCCGCTGAGAGGCTGCGCAGCTGGCTTATGCCAGGGGTGATCGAGCTGGGTCAGAGGAGCCCAGATGGACCGACAAGACACCGTATGGTCGTAGCGCGGTTGGGGTTGGCCGCCAAACTTGAAGTGATGATGCTCCTCCGACAAATTTCAGTTTTCGGATCCATTGTGGCTTCAACGGAAATGAAGGACCGTTGCCAAGTGCTCCAATATTCTATTGGGGTGATTTTCTCTGCCATTGCAGGAAGAAAACTTATTGGTCGCCGCCTAGTTCTGACACATCCTAGTTCTGACACATCATGACACATCCCCAAGATGATAATGTCTGGGGATCATGCTGCATAGCTGCATAGTGGAGATTAGTGGAGCCGTTGAAATATTTGGTGCATTTGGACAACCAAACTACGAATGCCAAGTTCACTCTCACGTGTTCTTTTTGCTCCCATGAGATGGTGTTTGGCTTCCCAAGCGTCTTCAAGGTACGAAGCAGCTGTGCGGGCCTACACTGCCCACACTGAGCAAGCAGCTTGGAGTGCCTATGTCGAGCAAGAACGACTGGCTCAAGCAGCAGCGTGCTCCTGCAGCAAAACCAGATTGGGGGGAGGTCGATACGTCGCTCAGCTCTTTCACAGAAAGGGATGTTCTTGCCGACCACAATAAGCCACGTATAAGCCTATAGCCACCTTTCTTTCTTTTCAGGACATACAGCATTCTTTTTGAAGAAAACGTTTCCTTGGTCGACTCTTTTCGTCCTTCTTCAAAGCTTTTGTTTTAAAGACCTATCCTTCCTTCCTTCCTTCCTTCCTTCCTTCGTTTCCTTGACTTTTCATTTCTTTTCATTGTTCGTTCTGGCGTCGTGCACCCACCCAGTCAGCTTGATTTGGCGCTACTCACCGCAGGTACCACCACGCCTTACATCGAAACTTCGAGGTGGGTGTTTCGTGATGGACAATGAAGTTTCATCGAGACACCAGTTGAAACATCAGAAGCATCGTTTAAAGTCGCCTTTGCTTTGACAGATCCATACAGATCCAAGGAGTCCATTTGACCTTACTTGCAACATTCTGTTTGGTTGACATTGCAAATCGCAAGGTAAACCAAAAACCATATGATAATTATATATATAATATATATATATGCAGTAGATTATTGATTATTCTTTTCCTTCTTTTTTTCCTGGTGGTGGTTCCCAAGTGATTAGGTCTTCGATCATGTGGAACATGAGGCTGCAAGCATCCTGTTTTGTATAGTTAACCTTGTATTTAAGTTGAGGCCTTATTCGTTGCTAGGACTGACGCCATTGCTTCATGGCTTGAGAAAATTGAGGCAGCTCAGGCACATGCTCTATATGCGGAAGCTGCCAGATTGGAAGGCGGCCAAAGTTCTGGGAAAATGGTGAGTCAAAGCCCAGGTCAAACCCTGTCGTTACTGCCGAACTATACACGGAAGAGCCAAAATGGGAGCTGCACATCCATTTTGCAAAACTTAAACGTGGAAAGAGATGGGGTGATCCTGGAGTCTTTGTTTCCTCTATGCGGAGCCATATGGTCGCCAAGTACAGTTGGTCTTGAGCTGCAGCCGATGGCTACTAGACTGCATGAAGTTCCATGTCACTTGGTCCCGGATACTCGAGGGTGGACATCCGTCACAACCGGAATGGACTGTTTGCCTCCCAGTACAGGAATCAAACATGGAGCGATCTTGAGCACCTTGGTGTGGGCAGCGCAGACAGGTGCACAAGGTCTACCTCCGGTCATGGAGCCCACAGGGCACGGGACCTAGATTGCCGCCACGGGGGTTTTCCGGGTGTTCGGGGCCGTTGGGTGGTGGCACCTTCCAGCCCAATTTGGGGTGACGACTCCAGATCCTACTGCCCCATGGCTGAAGTGGTGAAGCAGGTAACATGGCAACACGACTATCATGACTCAGATTTGATGGGCCATCCTTCATCAAGCGGCTGCTGAAGAGCCTTGAGGCACCCGCAATGGCCTGGCATGGGTGCAGCTGCAGATGCGACAGCGCAAGCCTCGGAACCAGTCATTAGGAAGATTTTGGCCAGACTTGGACAGAGATGCCCAAAACATGGGCACAGATACACACTGCTACGTGGGCACTTTGATATCGGATTCAGATTGGATTTCATGTGACTCATTTGGATTGACCTATCCGAGGCACAGCTTGACGCCCTGAACGCCTTGAAGGCGAGAACTGAAGACTTGGACATGGGTCGCTCAGCGGGGGGTTGGAGCATGGAGCCTCCGAAGAGATGAATGTTGACCTTGGTGTTCCATATATCACGTCAGTGTTGGTGTGCCGGGTTTGTCTAAATGATCAGATCAATTTTAGATGTCAATCATCAGAACTGGTTCCTGGAACAATTGGAGTGACAAGGGAAGATCGGGAATGTGAAGACCAGAGGTCCTTTCCCACTGTTTTCGATCCATCGCTAGTAGGTTGGAGGCCATCGCTAGTAGAATGGAGGCCATCGCTCTTAGGTTCCTTTTGCTATTTGGTTGGAGGCCATCGCTAGGCTTGTCCAATCGCGGACGACTTGATCAGTTCCTTTCCAGCCGCACCGGCCAGCGCCATGGTGGCGATGCTGGTGATCGCGCGGCACCCACAGAGAAGGCGGGCGCTTTGGCGGGGTTGCAGCTATTGTTGAAAGGCATTCTGCTAGTTTAACTCATACAGAGTGGTTTGGAGGACAAATCATGGACATGTCCAGTGTGCAGAAGATTATCTAGAGTCATCTAGAGCACTATTCCAAGGCAGACTCAGGAAGTACTCTGCGGGAAGATGTCAGCAATGCGGTGCTTCCTTGGGAGGCCATGCTTGGTGGCAGAGAAGATGTGATGGAGCCAGGACCTTTGGTCTTGATGCACGGAGACATTGTGGCATGGCAGAGTTGTGCCTGTTTCATCCTGCTTCTGTGCAGAACCTCTAGAAGACCCTCAGAAATGGATAGCCAATATCCTGGGGACATCGGAGAATCAGTTGTGCTTTTTGGCACTGGGTGTTGGTCCAAACTCGAGGTGGGAATTTGTGCGCAGCACGACTAAGGTTGCTGCAATCAATCCTTCCATCAAATGCAAGGATAAACGTCGCGTAGGGAAGCTTAATGCATTCGAGAGGATTCGAACACTTTTGTTGATTTGGGCTTACATCACTGCAAGGTCGTCTCAAAGGTTACTGTTACTGCAAGACCCACTTCAAAAGGAATTCGAGCTGAGCAGCACGCCTTCCAGTATGTCTAGTCAGCGAATGTCAGAGGTTCAAAACCGGCTCATGGCCCAATGATGATCCGTAGATTCCGAGAGCGCGTGGAAGCACCCAGCCTGTGAAGTGCTTTTGGAAGCACCCAGCCTGCCATCCGTGGTCGATTTCCACAGTGATGTTGTTTGCACGGAGCCGCTGATCCTAAGGCCCGGCGCTGGCGCGCCGACGCCACAAGTGCAAAGCCCAGGACGTGCGAAGATCAGGAATAAGTCTTCCGTGCATTTTCAAATTAGACACTTTCCTTGAACACGTCTCGTTTGCCTTATACCAGGACCTACCTCTTTGGAGTCTCTAAGGCACTAAGTCTAAGTGACCTGGGATCTCAAAAGGTCACTTTGAAGTTCCTGGTATATATATATATAATGCAATATAAGCAGTATATAAGGAGAGAGACATGGGGTGAAACCACCACCCCTAATCCACTAGCAAAGCACCCTGGTCGATGCATCTGGCACGCCAGGGGAAGCAGTCCTTGAAGCAGTCCATGAACAACCAAAGAGCATCTCTGCAGGCAAGCTTTGCATTCGATGTGTCACTAAGCACTGTGTATCACTTGACATGCAAGTCATAGGAATCTTAATGAATGTAGCCATCACATGATCCAGTCATTGACGTTTCACTTCACCGGACATGTTTGGCTCAAGATTGTGGGAAAAAGGGGCGGCTGCTGTGTTCTTTTGGTTATCAGCCGTATCGCTTTGCGATCGGTTGTTGGCCGTCGTTGCAGCCATCGCATCTTCCTCTGGTTCACGTCGTCCGACTGAACCCGCTGGTCCGCCCCCGCCTGAAGGGGGTTATTCCGATCCGGAGCATCCCGAGTACGAGGAGCCCCACAAGCTTCTGAGGTTCCCTCGCTCGGGAAAGAGCGGCAGAGCACAGAAGAGGGCGTTCATTCGCCAGGGCGTGGCTGAGGGGCATTTTGCGTTGACACATCCGCATTTGCTGAACGGTGTTACGTCTTTTAACTTTTGCGCACAGAGTCGGGTGACGATTGTTGAGGAGGTTCTTCAAACGTACAGAGCTCGATTCGAGGAGGCGCATAGGTTAGCTGCTTCGGCACTGCCACCTAGGCCTGAGCCCGCTGTTCCGGTACCGCCTGCTGTGATTGGCCTTACGCCAAAGGCATTTGCAAAGGCACCGCCGCGGAGGCCAGAGCCAGTTCAAGTCTCGATTGTTCTGCCGGACACGGTACATTTCCTTACCTTTGAGGCAGCGGAGAGTCGCTATACTCGTTGGGAGTCACAGGAAGTGCATTTGGGAGCAGTTGCAGACATTGGCCAGGTTAAGGTCCTTTTTGTTGATCACCATCAGGTTCTTGACAGGGATCACAGCGATACTTGCAGACAGACAGGTCGCGTGGGAGTTGAGAACATTGAGGCGGTCGAGAAGTTCAGACAGTTTGCATTGGATCACAAGCGTATTCCATTTGTTTTCGTTCTTTCTTTCACTGGGAGTTCGGGGCGCTATCAAGCGTGCAAGGACATTTGGAGCAACAGCGAAGGGATTCATCACTTGTTTGACGGGATCATTTGTACGTTCGAGCCGGACGGTCCGACAGGGAAGGCTGCAGTTATCTCGAGATTTGCCGAACGGTTGGGGGATCACTTGTCTTGTTGTTTGATCGACGACAGTGCTGATATCCTATCTGAGTTGGAAGCCACTTTGGCCACCGACAGGGCAACAGGGATTCACATTAAGCTTTCACGGAAGAGGAGCTTGAACAGCGGATCTGCGTATCCATACGCCAATTGGTTGAGCGACGGCTGGACGAAGGAGGCAGTTGAGAATTTCATTGCAGCCGAGTAGACGTCGTTTGATCTTTGAAAAGAAGCGATGGAGGGATCAGGAGGAAGTGCGCATGGTTCACCGGAGAGTGAACAGATTGTCATGTTTGGGGAAGCCATTGCAACTCCTATCCAAGATACGAGTTTGTCGTCCCTGACAGAAACATCTCACTCATCGATGGTTCAAAGTAATCAAGGAAACCCAACAGCAAGGACGGGTGTTGAATACCAACAACCGACCATCGGTCATATTGATGCAAGACAGCTTGTGTTCGAAAGCGACCAATCGTCTCATTTCACCGATGCCAGGTCAGTCAATCTTTTGGATTTGAACCCTCTGGTAGTAGCTCAGGCTCACCAGGTCGTGTCCGAAGTGCAGGGTCAAGCCATTCAATACGCCTCTGAAGTTGAAGCTAATGCGAGGAACCAGACTGCTCAGTATGTCCAAGCAATGGAGAGTCAGTTTAGGAACCAAGCCCTTCAGCAGATCCAGGGTATTGAATCTAATGCTCAAGCCCAAATCCAGAGTCAAGTTCAATCCATTGAAAACCAAGCCAGGTCTCAAATCCAGGCGGTAGAATCCACTGCCAGGAGCATGGTTCAGCAGTCTCAAGAAGAAGCCCATGAACTGGTCCGTCAAACCCAAGGTCAAGCTACCCGTTTGATGAATCAGTCTCATCAAGAGGTTGCTAATTACCAGAACCAGATTGAGCAATTGAAGGCTTTAGTGATTGATCGCACAAACCAGGTGGTTGAAGTGACCGGTGCATTGAACCAAAGGGAGAAAGCACTAGAGTCCACCACTAGGCAGATGAATGAAATGAGGGGTCAAATGGAAGCAATGATGAGGAGGATCAAGGATCAAGATGAAAGGTTGCAGTCCCTTGCAAAGAGTGGTACTCCAGGGGCACCAAGCACCATCCATCCTTGTAGTCCGCCGCCAAAGGCAACCTCATTCGTTGATAGGAAACCTGAAAGTGTTGGTCAGCCAAGTCCATCTAGGAAAGTTCATGGAATGGGTGAATTGGTTCCGGCGGTGCATAGTATTGCAACTCCTAAATCCTACCATCCTGGCACGGTCGCATTCCAGGGTCAACCAATGCAAGATTCGCTGGTCGCGTTGCCTTCGTTTGCATTGACGCCCATCGCCACAGGAACCAATGGTGAAGAGCTGCATTTGGCACCTTCACCAACTCAGTCCGCTTGTGCAGGAGAGATACCAAAGGCAAATCCAATGTTGCCTCCTGCTGCCTTGCTAAATGATCAGATCGGACTTCAAATCCAAAGTGACCAAAACACTGCTTTGCAAATGCAAGTGCATCAGTTGACCGTTCAAATGCAGCAATTGATTGGTGGGTTGACGGCAAACCCTGTGCAATCGGGCAATCAGCCATCATCGAACCGATCAAGAGACCGCCGCAAAGTCCCCGGATCGCCGCCAGGAAGTGGTTCTTCATCCTCTTCAAGTGACTCGAAAGGAAAGGGTTCAAACAGAAACCCTGGAGGGGGCGGAGACTCACCACCAAAATCCCCAAGTGGAGATGGCTCATCAAGCGATTCGGAGGACCCCTACAAACGAGAGAAACGACTAATGCGTATCAAACAGTATGACTATCTAAAGATTCCTGCTTTGCCTCAAGACGCAGCAAAATGCCGGAGTTTCCGAAACGCAGTGTTCAGTGGGGTTTGCAAGTTTGCCAAGAATGATGAAAGCGTCGTGTTCCGTTGGATCAATCGTTGCAACATCTCGGAAGATGGTAAAGAGTTCAACAATGCAAAGGACTTCCCCATCTTGGATCGAATCCTAGGCGCCAAATTGCTAGAAGCAGCAAAAGGCACAAAATTCGCCTTGGAGTTTCAGACCCACCAAGAGAGATGTCAGACACATGATCAACAACCAAAAGGTCGCAAGTTGTTGTGGTTGATCTTCCAAAAGTTTCGACTCGATCGCGACCGCGGAACGGCACTTAGTCAGCACCACCTTTTGTCCTTGAAGATGAATGGTAGTGACATCAAGGCACTTGAAGACTTTCGACAGCGATATGACTTTTGCGTAGGCGCTCTTGAACCTAGTGAGATGCCAGCTGAAACGTCGCTGAGGTCGTTGTTGTTTGAAAGCCTCAAGAATCACCCCAAAATGGCACTTGCAATTGACAAGTTTCGGGAAGCAAACACTGGTAGCTACAAGCGAACCAGCCGTTGGTTGTATAGCAAGATGTGTGAAGCCATTGAGATAACCCAAATGGATTTGAACACAACATCAATGGACAAAGCTCTCACCTCAGCAGGCTTAGATCCAAAGGTTGGAGGGGCACAAGCAGAAGCAAAAGACAAGAAGAAGAAAGATGAAAAGACAAAGAAAGAGAAAGAAAAGAAGCCAGAGCAAGACACAAAGGTCAAGAAAGAGGACAAGCCCAAGGCATCAAAGAAGGTTGATGAAGACAAGAATGTTGACGCAGCATTTGCCCAGAAAGGAAAAGGGAAAGCGAAAGATGGCAAAGGCAAGAACAAGGAGGACAAGCCACCGCTGACCAAGGAGCAGAAAGCAAAACTGCCATGCATGTACTTCGCATACGATTCATGCACTCGCGGGAAGGATTGTGAATTCCTCCATGACAAAGGGAACTTGTACAAAGGCCCGAAACCTCGTTTGAAGTCAGGTACTGGTGCTAGTTCTTCAAGTCATGCCGGAGCCGCTTCCGTAGCTGCTGCAACTGCATTCGCGTCGATTCCGTCAGCCGAAGCCGCTTTGAAAGAAGCAAAGAAGGTTTGCAGAAAGGTCACTCGGAGTTCCTTGAGAGTCCCCTGTGTCCAGTTGTTGGCCAAAGCCGTGACTACAATCATGACCGCCATCACCTGCTGCAATCCGATGTCCCAGATTGATCATTCAAGTGTCCCTGCATTGGCGTCACATCCATGTCAGATGGAATTCCTCATGGATTCAGGCGCAGGAAGGAATTTGTTGTCGAAAGACTCGATGCCCGATGATTGGAGAGGCTTCATCATCGACCCGCCGGAAAACCTGATCTTTAGAACGGGAGGTGGGGAGAGGAAAACCACAAAAGCCATCGAACTCCAAGGGCAAGTGAGCGGTCTCAACACTTTCTACACTTTGGATTCATGTCCCCATGCATTGTCTTTGGGAATTCAAGTAAACCACCACAAACGAGGGTTTGTTTGGCTGCCAGACGAATTGCCCTACATGATCAAGGCGGATCGTCTTGGTGATCTCAAGCACTTTTGCCCAGAGTCGGCAAAGATTCACATGGAAGTTCGTGAGAATGTTCCGATCATTCATGAATGGGTAGGTGCAGCGCCAGCAGATTTGGAAGCCAGTCCAGGACCTGTCGCCTTTGATTCAGATACGGAACCGATTGGAGGTCCGAGTTCAGGATCAAGAGATAGACCGGCGGGAGCACCTGTTCCGGAGCCAGAACCTCGTGTTGAAGCACCAGTAGATTTGCCAAAGGTTAGTGATAAAGTGTTGAAAGAGAAACCAGAAACTCTTCCTCATTTTGGTGATGAACTCATGTTGTGTGATGAACCAAAAGCGGAACCCTTGGATGCCCCTTTAGATGAAGAAGATGAAGAGGCCAACCCTTGGACCCCATCACTCCGTGAACGCCTTGAAGAGGAAGCCAAAAGTGAAACTCATCAACTTTGTCACTTCCCCAAAAACCGCTACTGTTCGATTTGTCAGAGAGCAAAGATGACAGGTCGGGTTCATCGGTCAAGGGGGGCACCGGGTGAGGATGAAATTCCTCCGCTCCACTATGGCCACACGATGAGAGCAGACCACATTATTTTGGGGGCAGATTTAACCAAAGGTGCTGGTGGGGAGCAAGCATGCCTTGTTTGTTTCGATGAATTCTCAGGTTGCATTGGAGCTTACTCCATGACCTCAAGAGACACTGACTCGAACATACTGTGCCTTCAGAAGTTTGCTGGAACCAGAGCTTCCCCTAGGTCTTCTTGCCTTGTGAAAACCGACTGCGCTCAAGAATTGACCAAAGCTGTTGAACATCTGGGCTGGTTGAGTGAACCAGGGATTGAGAATGACCCGTATCACAATGCAAAGTTGGAAAGCTTGATCCGAAGGATCAAAGAAGGCACACGTGCGATCCATCTCAAGTCAGGCTTGCCGCACGCCTTTTGGCCAAGAAGCATTGAGTATTTTGTTGTAGCACACGCAATCACACATCCATGTCCTGTGCATCCGAATGAGACTCCTGAGTCCAAAGCGTTGAAGGAAGGGAAGACCTGTTATGAAGTTGCTTCAGGTAATGTTTTTGATGGGTACCGGATTCCTTTTGGTGCATTAGTTTGGTACAAACCACCCAAGCATAGAGAACTTCCTGCCTTTGACCCAAGGACTTTTCCTGGGATCTTTTGTGGATGGCGAATCGACAACGGGTATAAGTTCAGAGGTGTGCATTTGGTTTTGGATTATGAAGCTGTTCGCACCAACAAGAAAGGTTGTGAGAAACCAATCCAAGTGTATACTAGTGAGCTTGTGAAACCAGAAGTGTTCATCTTTCCTTTGGAAGAGGCTGCAAATTCACAGCTGGCATTGTTTAAAGCAGATCGGGAGTTGCTGAGCATTGATCCCAGAGAGTCGTTGCCCTTTGGAGAGGATCCTCCCGAGCCAGCCAAACGCAAACGCAGGCCTTATGTAACATTGGAGAGATGCATTAGGTTCGGAAAGACTGTAGGTTGCAAAGGCTGCGACAGAATCGCAGAAGGCGTGAGGCACAGCGATGAATGCCACGCAAGGATTGGCAAACTCTTGGAAGACGAGAGACTAGCCAAAGAGTCAGATTCGAAGAAAGACAAAGAGAAATCAGAAGAGGCTGTGGACATTTCGATGCACGCCTTGAAGGACAAGTGTAGCCGCCAAAAATTCAGAGAAAATCCCATTGTCCTGCCTGAAGGCCAGGAGAGCAAGCTGCAGGCTTCTCTCGTGGATTGCTGTAATGCTGAGGCACTGAATGACTATTGGGACTTTGATGAGGCCAAAGCTGCATGGAAGAGAATCCACGTCCGTCCGAGGAAGCGTTTGTTCACACCGCTTGGAAATGACTGTCCTTTCGATTCGTTCGAAGTGACAACAGAACGTCAAACTGTTTGGACTTGTAGGAACAAGACTTCACTGTTTGCAGATGATTGGCAATCCATGTCACCGAACAGGCGCATTTGTTCAAGAAGTTGGGTAGGATGCACATACTTCTTCCCAAAGAAGAAGCCTGAAAATGTGAAAGCAAGAATCATGACCATGACTAGCAATGTCGAGAAAGAACCTGCTCGAGGGCTTGATGCTGTCACGTCGATCCTTGGTTTAACTCCGGTCCCTGCAGAAGTCAAAAACGTTCAGACATTGAAGCCATCCCGTGAAAGGAGGATTAGGTCCGGCAAAAGCCATGCAATGTTTGAATTCTGCTGCAGCAAAGACTCAAAGTTAGGAGATATTAATGAATCAAGGGGGGTCCCACATTTCAGGTTGCATCGGGAACAAACCAACTTGGAAAATGAAGAAGACATCAAGAGCCTTTTGTCGTTGGTAGACATGTTCAAGGGGGCTGACCTTTGGGGAAGCATTCCATGTAGTTCGTGGAGTCCTTGGCAGAAAATGTGTCTGCATCGATATGGTTCATCCTACGCAAAGAAATTGAAAGCCAAGAGAAAGACAAGCAAGAAACTCTTAGCTAACTACATAAAGGTTGCCGAGAGAATTCTCCAGAACGGAGGACATGTTGCTTTCGAATGGCCCAAACATTGCGAAGGTTGGATGTTGACAGAGCTTTTGCAGTTTGTCAAGAAACATGATTTGTATGAGACATGCTGTGACGGCTGTGCCTTTGATTTGAAAGACAGTAAAGGAGAGCCACATCTGAAGACGTGGAGAGTCGTAACCTCATCAAGAAAGTTGGCAAAAGACCTTGGTGCATACCGATGCCAACACCCAAAAGACTTCAAACACAGTCCTTTGGAGGGTTCAAGCACAGGGAAGTCAGCCTTCTACACTGAAAGGATGGCGCAAACAATCTCGAACAGCTTGTATCCTGATGGTGATTCCGTCCCAATCATGCCGACTTGTCCGTTTGTTCAGTCAGAACATGTCCCGCATGAAATTCCCTTAGGTGTTCATCAATTGATTGATCGTCGAGATTGGGGAAAGTATCCGGGGGCTGATCAAGCTATCAAGAAAGAGTTGGATGGTCTTCTAGCAAATGAAGTTTGGGATGTTAGTAAAATCATTTCCAAAGAAGAACTAATGAAGTCGGGTGGTAAATACAACCTAGGTCGTCTCATGACAATCCTGTCCATGAAGCACGCCGAAAGTCCAGAATTGCGAAAGTTGAAAGCCAGAATTGTGTTCAGAGGCGATCAAATTGTTGACCAAGACAACAACATCGCCATCCTGCAGGAACTCAAAGTGAATCCCTCAGGAATCACAGCTATAAACTTCAACTTGAGCTATGGTGCACTTCCAGGAAATGAAAGTTCCCAGTCGGACGTTGTGCGTGCATACACTCAAAGTGTCTTGCGAACTGTGGTGGACACTTGGGTGCTACTTCCACCAGAGTTAGTGCCAAAGGAGTTCGCTCACATCAAAATGCCAGTAGCGCCCCTGAAGAAAGCGCTATACGGACACCCTGAATCGGGTTTCCACTGGGACGCAAGATTCCGTGAAGTGATGGGACTCATGGGAGGTAAAGCTGACAGAGACAACCAGTCGAATTGGACCTTTGAAAATGGTCTAGTCCTCACATTGTACGTTGATGATATCTTGCTTTCAGGGCCATCAGGTTTGCGCAAAGGATTCTGGGAGAACCTGCAAAAACACCTTGAAATAGAAGAACCGACCCCAGTGGATCGTTGTCTTGGCAGAAAGCATTTGTTCAAACGTGAAAACGGAGTGACTGAGGTTTATTTCGACATGGTAGATTTCATCAACTCAGCATGCCAAATGTATGAAAACCTGTCAGGGATGCCATTGAAAGGCGCTGCGTCTCCGTACTTGCCAGAAGGTTCCATTCCAGTGAATGAATGGGAGGAGCGCGGTGCTTTAGCAAGTGATGCTAGTAAGGTCTTGATGAAAGTCCTTTGGGCGGGCAGACTTGCCAGGCCGGACACGGTAAAGGCAATTGGGGATCTCACCCGCCGTGTCACGAAGTGGAGTCGCGCCGATGACCGCCGCTTGCACAGATTGATGAACTATCTGTTCGAGACCAAGGCGTTCTGCCTGAAGGGCAAAATCGCAGATCGTCAGGAAGACCTACAACTGGTCTTGTATACCGACGCGGACCACTCAAGCGCGGTAGAGGATGCAAAGAGCACCTCTGGTGGTTTGCTGTGTCTGCAAGGACCGGGGTCTTACTGGCCACTGTCGTGGCACAGTAAGCGACAGGGTGCCACTGCACGATCGACCACAGAGGCCGAGATCATATCACTTGCACACGGCGTATTTGACGCTTTGCCAGTTGCCGAATTCGTTGAGGAAGTGTTTAGAAGAGAAATTGAATTGGTGTGTTTCCAGGATAACAGCGCCGTCATAACCATATGCGGCCAGGGCTATAGCCCCAAGCTCCGACATGTTTCGAAGCACCATCGAATCAACCTTTCTTCTCTATACGAGACGTTCGCAAATGGTAGTGCCAAATTGCTTTATATAAAAACGGACCATCAAAAGGCTGATCCCTTCACGAAGCCGTTGCCGGTTTCTAAATGGAGTCACGCCTTGGAGCTTTTAGGCGTCGTGGATCCAAATCTCTCGAGGCACCCATCTTCCACTGAAGCTGTTAATGTGTGAAGGGGGAGGAGAGAGACATGGGGTGAAACCACCACCCCTAATCCACTAGCAAAGCACCCTGGTCGATGCATCTGGCACGCCAGGGGAAGCAGTCCTTGAAGCAGTCCATGAACAACCAAAGAGCATCTCTGCAGGCAAGCTTTGCATTCGATGTGTCACTAAGCACTGTGTATCACTTGACATGCAAGTCATAGGAATCTTAATGAATGTAGCCATCACATGATCCAGTCATTGACGTTTCACTTCACCGGACATGTTTGGCTCAAGATTGTGGGAAAAAGGGGCGGCTGCTGTGTTCTTTTATATATATATATAATAGATTCAATTTCTTCAAGATGTTGAGGAAAGGCTCGGATGTGTTTGTTTGCCTCTCAGATTGCTTGAAATCGTTGTTCGGGTCTTCAGCGGCATAAGGCCAGCGCGGCAGCGCTGCAAGGTGGATTTCGGGGACGAGGCTATGGAGTTTCTTGGCCAAGAAACGCGGGTTGGCCTTGTCAGTCTGTTTCGGGTGGTCATTGAGGGTCCAAACTACCCCCTATTTTCACATATTTTCATGATCCAATCGTAGAGGTACTGAGATATCCTCAATTGAGTGATGATCCCAGCCACGTCCCTTTCTTTAGACACGATATTTTCTTGTCCAAGTATCAACTGATTCTCTCACTCTCCGGACGCAGGGGGCGATTTTGATGGTTTTTTCTTGGTTCGAGGAGATTGCTGGGATGCCTATGTAGGTTTACCAGATTCTAGCTCTTGATGCCAATTATTACTGTATTACTTTTACTTTTCTCTTTATGGAAGACGAAATGTATGGGAAGGCTATGGAATGCTCATTCTTTGGAAAGTGCAAATGTTTGAGATGCTGGACTGGGAAAAAGAGTTTCGAAGCTGAGGTTCCTGGCACCCCTCATGGAGTAGGCCAAGCCCTTGTGGCCAGTCCTGAGCACGTGTTGTCCAGAGCAGTCATTTCCCAGATACTTTCGGGATGTTTTCAGGTACCTTCAAAGCAAGAGCAGACATGCTTCCTTGACACTTGTGCAACAGTCCTCGCAGGTTGTATTTTATTTGTGCAAGTGTGTTCTCTCAATCAACAGAGTGCAGAACAAAAGCAAGATCTCGCAGGCCTGGGAGATCCAAGACTCAATCCCGTGTTAGGAGCTGCGAGTCGGTCGACGAAGGTCCTAATGGCCAACCATGAAACTGGAGTGAAACGGAGAACGAAGGTCATATCGTATGGAACGAAGGTCGGCCCAGATTTTGTGTTCCTTCTTGAAATTGACGCACACAATTACTTGTTACACCTTAGAAAGAATCTCTTTCTGGAACTGAACTGCTTGGTCCCAACTTCGTGGACTGTGAACCAGTCTTCAAGTTCTTGCAAACAGGGCAGTGGACCTTGGAGCTTCTCTTGACCATGGTTTTGGTTAAACACCTGGATGTTTGGTGCCCTCGCAGATCTCAAGGAGCTCTGAGCCAGATGAGCTCTTTGCCGCCAGATCTTGCAGGTGAGACCAGTTCTGTGACAGGGCCTTTGACAAAATTGGAGACCTCCTTCAATGCATATTTGCACCAGCGAACCAGCGAACCCACTTCTACCTGGAAATGGGTCCGCCCAGTGATTGCTTTTGGAGTTGACCTTATATCCTTATATTTTGCTTGTGTATGGGGGAGTCCTCGTACGTTGTTCGCCGAATGAAGTTCCAGGGGATCTGACTTGAGGGAACGACTTGAGGAAACCTCTTCTTCTATACAGGTCACCATTGAAGAATCGTTCACGCAAGACATTCTTTTTCTATCGGAGTGGACACATCCTTTTTGCCATATCCGAAAACGGGTCTATGAGAGGACCATCCTGCGCAGCAGGTGGACCTTGCAGGACGATCCAAGCAGGATTTTCATGGATTTTCCATGATGATCCGTTGGAAGTACTTTCTTTTTGCCCCGAGTGGCCCTGCCTCCTTACTTAATTGAGTAAAGGAGGCTAGTAAGCAAGTAATCTACTAGCAATAGGAAGCTCCTGCATACGGACACAGGATAGCTCACGTTCTCAAGGAAGCTCCCTCCGCCCGAGGGCGGGGGGAGCTTCCTTGAACAAGCGCTCACACCAATCATTTGGTTCCTAGATTTTCTGGGTCCTCCACCTGTCGCCTGTCACCCGCTTCGCCACGATCTTCCGTTTTTGGCCAGCCGCGTATGCCGCTGCCAAGCCGGGAGCAGCTGGAGCTCAATCTGGAGGCCCAAATTAAGCGGGTTGACGAATGGTATGGTGAAATGCTTCTCTTGTTCCACCTTCCTGAGCCAGAAGCGATGGTTGCAGCCATTCTTCTTTGGCCCACCTTTACTCCTCATCACACTCGTTCCACCATCCTGTCACCTACAGTGATGAATTCTGCCCCACTTAGACAGCCATTCTAGGGGTCCAGAATGAGACCAACGCAGACACGAGAACGTTTGAATGGCCCTGACGTGACAAATTGCAGCCCTCTCCATCACGCTCCAATGCAGAAGCAGGTTGGAGACCGTCTCTGCGACCCTCCATGCCAACTCCTCAGAGCACTTTTTCTCGATTTCAGAGAGGCACTCACCCGGGTCGAACTATATATATATATATAGTCAAAAGGAAAATGCCCCAAACCAGGATCTTTGGAACCTTCAGGGCCTTTCTTCAGGGCCTTCGTATGCTCTTTGGTTTGTGGTCCAGGTCTCCGGAGGAGCAGCTCCTTCATGCGCACGCTGCACAGCATGCTGCGGCTGCACAGGCAGCTGCCGTGGGGGCTCCACAGATGTTGAGCCTTCGGGGGGAGCAGCTCCACGATATTGGACTTAGATTTTGGTGACAATGCATGTTTTTACATGTAAAAACAGGTTTAACTTCGGGATCAGTCTTTGTTCTGATGTTTGTTCTCCGTCAGTGGTAGCTTTTTGTCCCGTGGCGATGATCGCTGGTGTCATGGATCATAGCCAGCAGAGTGCAGGTCTGTTTCATCATGATCCCAAGTCATGAACAAGTTGAGGATCAAAGCTCAGGGTAGCTGGCAGCTCTCTCTCCCCTTTGTTTTTGTGTTTCCTAAGATCGTTCTCTCATGGTCTCGACCTGAGCATTTTGGCTGAGGGCCTGGCTGACGCCAGGCTCGCCATTGCTGGGACTGTGGTGTGGCGTGGGAGGGGGTGGTGACGGAATATTGAAGCAAAGTTGTTGAGAGGATGATATCGAATGGGTTCATTCTTTTCCCAACAAGAAAGGCGATGTCAAGGTAAGAATAAGTCAGGTGATGCCCTGCTTTCGAAGGAAGAAGAACAACATGCAACACAAGGTTCCAAGCCCCAATTCTTTTGAGAACGAAGAGTGAAAGTCAAAATGGAACGGTCAAAGCCCGCCGTGTGTCAAAAGAACCATGAAGCAAAAATAATTCCAGATGCCCTCAAGTCCCTCAAGTAGCATCTTCTACGTTTTCTCCGAATGTGAGTCATTCCGCACCTTTTGCGAGGCCACAGCCCCTGCAACCGGGAATGACCAATGCAGGCTTCGGAGCCGCGGGGGATCCAGGCGCGATGCTTCGATTGACCCGTTCCATGAGCTGCGGTCTCTAAAGCTCTTCAGTGGGGATCACACAAATGCCCTTTGTTACTAGTAGCTTCTTGTTTCTAGTAGTAATGGCCTCCAACCTACTAGCGATGGCCTCCACCCTAGTAGCGATGGCCTGGTCGGTTTCTTCACCCTGCGATTGACGGTAGGATCACAATAGCGATGGAATAAATGGCGCTGGCGCACATTTTGATCACCTTTCGCTTGGATTCTGGATGAACATCAAGGCATGGTTTTCATGGTCATGGTCTCCCAACCGCGGCACAAAAGCCTAATCGAAAGGGGTTCATGTACCAAGATGTGGAGGCGATGCCGTGCAATACATGCCATAGTCACTGAACTGAGTGTGGCTTTCGAGGAACGGCCGCGAGCGCATTTCCCATGAAGCTATGCTTGGATTGTGAGATCAAAGCGATGATGTTTATGTGGATATATAACTATATAAATTAAACGATTGAAATACTTCCGCCCAGGCAGATATAACTGTGCAAACGTGTTCAGCGTTCAGCAAGCTTGTTGACTTCCTGGAAATCCGACTCCCCTTCTGTGCCCTTCGCCACTCGACCCTTTTTGTTGGCGATCTCAAGTCGACAAAGCCGGGTGGTCGCCAGGTCAATTGAGTCAATTGGCAAATTGAGTTCCTGACCCAGTCCTTTACCCAACATGCGGGGCTTAGCAGTGACCCAGGAAGGAAAGCAATCTGAGTCCCTCCTGACCCACATGTTGCAACAAGTAGGAAGTTCACGCCTCCCAAAGGGTAATCTTTTGGTAATCGTTTGCTATTGTTCTCAAGGTAGCTGGGTGTCGTGGTCAATAGGAATTGTTGGACCTCCCATGCTTGTCAATGTGTGCACCGTAACCGACTCCAAGTACTGCAACGTTGTGAACTAAATTTTTCCCTTGACACACTTGGATACTGTAACCACCTTCATATGTTACCCATACCACCACGTTCGCTTGTTAGAAGGGGTCAAGCGGGTCAAGAGATGACCATGGCTCCCTTTCACATACTTGTACCGTGCAAAATCCATCAAAATCCAATGTCATGTGGTTTCACTTTTTGACGCAGAACCCCAGACTCCAGACAAACGTCCTGTTCTTCCTTTCGCAGACATTCACTCGCATTGCGTGCATCCAGGATGCAGTGGGCATAAGGCAAAAGGTGGTCAGGACATTCCAAGAGCGCAACAGACAGACTTCGCAGTTCAGTGCACATGTCTCGTTCCAAACAGCTGGTTCCCCTCCCATTTGGTCATGGCCTCACGCCAGTGCCGTTCAGTGCACAACGTTTGTGTTGGATTTGTGGGAGGACAGACAAAGCAAAGGAAAGGGCCGGCATAAGGCAACGACCGGCATCGGGTGTTGGTTGCTTTTTTCACGATCCAAAGTCTTCTTTCAGCATTGAAGTCGCCAGCCACGCTATGTCCAGAAAGGGTCCGACTTGTACATTAATTAGTGGTTTTTGCAAGGTGACATTCTGGTGCGCAAACATGACAGTCTGGTGTGTGCAGGGCTAAGCCGTCGTGGAAGAACAACCTGGTCAATCCCGGCGCTCGTGCCTGGCTAGTTACAAGCCCAGCGCAGATGAACAAAGGCAAACACACCCCAAGGAGCCAGTGATGCACAAGTTATTTCTTTTGGTGACATTTGCTTCATTTGGGTTGGGCTTGCTTTGGCTCCTGAACCAAAGTACCATGGCAAAGTCTCCCCGCGCAAGACACCCCTTATATACAGTAACGTCATAGCAAGTGTCCAAAAGGCCCAGAAATGGTGTCTACATTGCGGGATGCCACTGTGGCCCTCCGCTGTTTTGTTGTATTGCTGGCGGGCCCAGTGCGATTTTCGCCGCGTAATTGATCGGTGTTTTTCGGTGGGTGGCTTGCTTAAGATTGTGGGCTTGGGTCTCACGAAGCGTCACGGTCGTAGCCTGACGGATCTTTGTTTTGAACGTTGGGATCCTCCCAACCTAAGACCCGAAGGCGTATATAGTGAAGCAAGATAAAGGAAGCAGTGTTATATATTTGTATAGTTACAAGGGGTAAGAGGAAGAGGTGGCCAAGTTCAAGATACAGCAAGCCTGCAATCACCCCGAGGACCGGTTTTCAACCGCTTTTTGCACAGTCAGTTCAGAGATCAATATGGAAAGAAGGTGTGCAAGAAAGCTTGCATGCCATGTAGTTGTGCTCGGCCACTTCTCAAACAGAAGGTTTGAAGCGCTTATATGCCAGCACTTGTACATGTCAAGTTGCGGCAAGCCCTCCTGCATTTGTTCAACTTTCTAAAGCCACTCACTTCACTTCCCAACAAAAGTTCTTGGCCCTGGCGGGCTTCCCGCCATGACCGTCATGGACAGAGCTTGTCCTGAAAACTTCCGTCTCACCTTAGTTTATTCCACCGTGTTGTGGCACAAATCTAAAAAGGGCACACTAGGGGGTTGATGAGATTTTGTGATTTTGCAACTGAAAATCGCGGGACACATTCGAGACAGAGAATGGTTACTGTATACCCTCCTGCCATACATGCAAGTGTGGTATACCTGGTAAACCTGGATTATATACCAATCGCTAGAACTTCTGTCTACATTGGTTTAGAATTCAGAAGAATGCTATCTATTCTCATGATACTAGGTTGGAGGCCATTGCTATTGGGTTGGAGGCCATTGCTATTAGGTTGGAGGCCATCGCTATTAGGTTGGAGGCTATTGCTACTAGGGTGAAGGCCATTGCCATTATACTCAGATGATTTGCATGAGTTGGTATGGTTGAAGGAAGTGTTCCAAATGTAACTCCATTCGCAAACATGCAAGAACCAGTTTCTATTCACGAAAGCTAGCACCAGCTAGCTGGAGTTGTCCTTGCTTTAGCAAGTGAGGGGCTGGAATCCTCGAGATCGCCGCATCACGTGAAAACTTCATATGTAGAGGCCCGCCCCTCCGCGCGGGTTCAACTCCCCCCTGAAACGCCTCTGGGACACCTCTTGGACACCTCTTATGGCATCCACTTTGGTTCAACTCCTCCGTGGAGGTTTTGGGATACGATGCAACAGATTCAACAGATTCACAAGCTAAGGTTGGTCATTGCTGTTCGTGTGTCTTACATGTTCACAATGTTTTTTTGCAGCGAGACCTTGTGAACCATCCCTCCAACAGCCCCATGCCTATGAAAAAGAATTGCCTCACTCCGCTTGATGTCCCACCAGTCCTTTGTCACTGGACGGCGCTGTATGCTTCGCCTCCACTGACTGGGTGCAGGATTTCTTGAAGCTCCCTCACCTCACTAGGAGGCTTGAGAGTATTTTCGCTGATGCTAAAAGAGCTCAAGATCCTTGCATACCACCTTGCTCAGCGCTTTCTTTGTGCTACCAGGATGCACTAGTAAACATGGAGGGAGCAACTGATCCATGGTTGGAAAACTATAGCATAGCATCCTTCCTCTAACAGCCAAACAGCAAAAAGGCTTGATTCAACACTACAGTACATGTGGGAGGGCAGACATTGACAGAAGCTTGTCATTCTTCTTTTGCAAGACCGATCCGTCATACTTGTGTTAAAGTCGGACAATCACGCAGCTCAGCCTGGTGAAATAGATGTCGGTCAATGGTCCAACGCCGACATCTTCCTTGATTGGCTCAGATGACGGGCAGGCGCTTTGATGCTTGAGGGGCCACTCGCTGAGATGTGAGGTACTTTGTCATGTTCTCTTCTATCAAGCCACTCAAAGCTTTGGCTTTGTTGCACTTGACGTGAGCGCTTTCCTTTGGTCAGGCTGATGGAAAGGACAGCGCTGTTGGCTTGACGCGCCAGCGATTGGAGTGGGTTCGTTGGGCCCATGCTGCCGCGCCAGGAGACCCATTGCCCTCGTTGCCGATCGCAGTTCACGACATACTTCAGGCTGGCACACTTAGCTAGCACGGGGGCCACAAAGCCCAAAGGAGGTCAGAACAGCTGATGCCCAGGACTAGGAAAACACCAGCCAAAATGCCGTCAGATGGGATCAACTTTATTTCCCATTTGGCTATTTGCGAATATGAAGCCTTGTGCCACGTTGGTAGGCGGCACCATTGCCGGAACTGCGGGGGCTTGGTCTGCGATGACTGTAGCAGGCCGACGACTGATCGACAACTTGCCGAGGTCTTTGTATTGTTGTTTCCTGGACCTTGAGATATCAAAAAATCTATTTCTCTCAAAGCTTTATCTCGAAATTGATTTGCTGTTTCCATCCCTGCAAGTCGACTCGCGAACCGTAAGGACACCCTTTCGCTCTTGTGAGCCTTGGCTCTTTCAGCCAGATGGGCCGCCAGGAACCGCACCCGAATCCCAAGGGATCTCTCACTGGGGATTGCCAGGAACTCAGAAGTCGCTCTGACTAAACTAAAGTAAAAGACGAAGCAGCTGAGAGTTTGAATAGACATTTGTGGGGAGGCGCTCTTTTTCGGTGACATACAGCAATCAGAGATTTGGCCAGACTGAGTTTCTCAGCCCAGGTCAGGGTTTGTGATGACTGCTTCAAAACCATTGGTGACCACAACGTCTGGGTCCCCAGAGCGATTTTCACGCCATTGATGGTCACCGATGTGAGCTCTGAGGCCGCTGGGGCCGAGGAGGATTTGGTTTTCAGCCAGCAGCTCATCGAGCGGCTCCGAGCGGAACTGGCACAGAAACACACGCAGATTGAGGCGGCTCTGGGGCGAAGCGGCGACGGGGGGCGAAGGACAGCTACCAGGGGCTCCTGGCATCGCTACTAGTAACAAGAAGCTGGGGCTCCTGGCCTTACTACTAGGAGCAAGGACGCTACTAGGGGCTC